AAAAAAAAAAAAGTCCGCAGTCTAGACAAACTTCACTTAACCTACTCAGCTGCATTTTGTAAGTACTTTGGACAACTTAGCAACATGATATATATTGCCACAAGATTTTATAATGACAGCAGCATCGGCAATAATGGCTAGGTTTTGAAAGAAAGCTTTAGACTTGAAGGAAACAAAAGCGACTGTTCATTTGTTCTTCATACCTTTGGGTTGATCACTAAGTAGGTTACAGCTCCATGCTCTTTTAGATAAGGATCACGTTCCTGGCCATCTCCATCTTCAACCTTATATGCCCCATTCAAGTGCTCAAGAGTCACTGAGGTGATGTGGACTCGGCTATTCATCAAGAACTTGCAATTACTATCGTTTTTCTCAAAAGATTCTTAACAATTTCACATCTTCTACAAACTGAAAATGATTATGAATAGCTGTAATAAAAAAATTAAGCATACAATTAAATAAAAACCCCACAATCGCTTACCCAGGTACACCACCTGCTTCCATGTGATTGGCTAAAGTTACATCATGTGACCAGACATCATATTGCCATTTCTGGAGGCCAATCACACCACAGAGAACGTTTCCAGAGTGAACACCCACTCGCATGTTAATATCCACTACTGTGGCGTCTCGCACTTTCCTATAAAGAAAAGGAAGGAAATAACAACACATCCCATCACACATCAGAGCATCGATTTAACCTTATACCATAACACGATTAGAAACACATTTAGACGAGACATGGCTTTGACCTTTTAAAAGGCTTGACCTTTTGAATGTTGTTTTTGTCACTCCAATTCACAAGTTGCAAGAGATGCATCAGTGAGCATGGTGACCATGATCCTGATAAAAATTAATAATTTACTCATCCTGTTGCTCTAAACCCATGACTTTCTTTCTTCCTTAGAGCATAAAATAAGACACTTAACACAATGTCATAGCTGCTCTTTTCCATACAACGTATTTGAGCAGGATTTCGAGTTCCAAAAAAGCACGATAAAAGTAGCACCATAGCACAACAAAAGTAGGCCCTGTGTTTCTTATGCTATATTATGACTTCTGATGCCATACAATTGCATCATGTGGGGACAAAATTTACATTTACTCATATCTCTAATCTTTCTTTAGCACATTCTAAACTGCAGTTTTGTGATCAGTCACAAGTGATTTGTAAGTGGGATTTTAGTAGTTTAAGGCCTGGTTTCACAGACAGGGCTTAGACTAAACCAGGATTAGGCCATAGCTCAATTAAGACATTTAAGTTATTTTTTTAAATGTGCCTTATCAACTAAATGCGCCCCAGAGACAGATCCCCTGTGAAGACAACCATTGGCACAAGACCACCGGAAACAGACCCCTGCACCTGTGTTGCAGCCTGGAATTAAACCACACCATGCTCGTTTCGTCAGTCCAGGGGAGAACTGTCCCCCCGACTGAGCCTGGTCTCTCCCAAGGTTTTTTCTCCATTTCTGTCACCGATGTAGTTTTGGTTCCTTGCCACTGTTGCCTTTGGCTTGCTTAGTTGGGGACGCTTGACTGATTGCACAGACACTATTGGAAGAGAGCTGAACTGGGTGAGGACATCACTGAATCAACAATGAACTGACTTTAGCTGGACAAATGACTCAGTTTGTTAATGATGCAAGAAAACAATAACAATGTTCCTGTTTAACACTGTAAAGCTGCTTTGACACAGCCAGTATTGTATAAAGCGCTTTATAAATAAAGGTGACTTGACTTAGAAAAAACATTACTGGTGTGCATCTTGAGACAAAACAACGGCACTGATGTATATTTTAAGATCAGTCAGTGCAAGTTTCTTTCAGTTGAAACAGCTCAGACTTACATTTTAGTCTGGGACTAGGCTTAAGCCTTGTCTGTGAAACCGGGGGTATGAGTTACAACAGAGAGTAAGATCTATAGCGAAACTGATCTGAACTTAACAGATCCTGATCAATATGATTTTGTAATTTATTTAAAAATGTTCTCAGCAGTGAGAACATTATTCAAAATTTCTACTTTTGGTTTCCACAGAAGAAAATAAAAGGCTTTAGAAAAATTTACAATTTTCTCTTTTTTTTTTTTTTGTAAATTATTCCTTATAAAATTGGTGCTAATCAGTAAAATATTTGTTGGCACTTGGTTTAAAATGAAAACTCTAGTGTTTCTACACTGTGGCTTGAGTACTCAAAAAATACAATATAGCATTTAATTTTTTTTCAGTTGATTATACGTTATTATACGACACTGTGATTGCGGCGAGTTTCCTTGCAATCCTTTAACAGGAATTTACAGCATATTTTCCAACACCACAATTTGCCAGCAACTACTAATAGAGAGATTTGATTCTTCCAGGCTTCTGCAGAACAGGTAGAGATAAGAGAAAGACAGCTCTCTCGTCTAGACTCAGCACCAGTCATTTTCCACAGTCTGACCTCTGAGGCCTCCGACTCATTATTGGGATGGCCAGGTATCATGTCCTTCACAGCAGTACTGTAATCAGTAAATCAGTAATCAGCCCCTCTGCACGGAGGATTATAGGACTGGAATAGAAGCTTTGCTGCTGGACTGACTCTGCCTAAATTCTATCACAGAAACAGCAAGTGAGCAAACAGTTTGCTTAAATCCTGTCTGTTTATTGATTAATAAATGCTCTTAATTTTGTGCAAACTGAAGTTACATGTAAATAGAAACAGAATGACGTATGAATGAATTTACATTATATATTTTGTAATCTCCTGTGGTAATGTGCAATAAAGCCAGGTGTTCACAGTGTTGTTCTTTAGAGACAAAGCGTGAACAGGTTTGCAGAATGTATAATAATTATGATTAGTAGTATTAGTATAAATTAGTATTAAAAACACCAGCTGAGAATCACTGATAGCAGACATGTGGGGCTGAACTTACTTAATAGCTTCGCACATGTCAAGACCCATCTTCACACAGTTTTTAGCATGATTTGGCAAGGACTCTGGGAGGCCAGATACACAGTAATAACAGTCCCCTAAAATTTTTATTCGCATACATTCATTTTCCTGAAACACACAGAAACAATCAAGGACGTCAACAGCCAGAAAACTTTTTGATAAGAGTGAAATTATCTGCAACATTTGGTTTGAGTTTTACAAAGTAATATATTTTCCAGACCAGAAGGAAATGGTAGCTTTATATCAATAAAGTACATTTCAGTCACTGGACTCGGAGATTCAGCTTACCTTGGCAATCTGATCAAATTTGCCAAATAGCTCATTCAACATATGGACCAACTCTCCAGGTGAGCAATCACTGGCCAAGCGGGTAAATCCAACAATATCAGCATACAAAATACTGTAAGAGAACATACATTTTGGTGACTCAGGACTGGAAAAAAAACATTTATTTAGATTAACTTTTTTATGCATCTTACACTGTTTAATTGCTTCAGGATTATTTTATTTCCCATACAACAGAACAACATAATAATGCTATTAGCAAAGTTCCCCTCAGACCATGACAGAATGAACCACAGCAAGAACCTTTTCATATCAGTTCATTACAGACATAGAAAAGATTTCCTGCTAATGCTGCTGTCTCACAGGGAATGAAAGCTTAAGTAACAAGCAAGAATTTTGGCACTCCAAAATATTATGTTAAATAAGAAAGTCATTTAAAAACTGTGAGACATTGGAACTTGATGGATATGTTACTTCAATTAAAGTTTTAGTCTGCCATTTAAAAAAAAAAAAAAAACGCAGGTGGGGCAACTAGTGTAGTCACAAACAGTCCAAAAGGGAGGGATACAACTCGCCTGCTCATTGTTCTGCACAGGAAAACGGCAAGAATCAAAAGAGCTCAAACCAAAATGTCACCCCAGTGGTGGAAATGATTATTTTCTTGTTTATATTATCAACACACCTGACATTGGTGTGACGTTGTACATATAAATTATGGAAGTTGTTGGTGTTTTCCACCTGACCAAACTTCGGCCCCTGTAGTCTCTGTATGATTTCAGCTTTCATCACTCGGGCAATGTGAGCAGGAAGCAGAGACAGCAACAGACGTTCCTGTAGCAAAAACACACCACAACAGGGAATGAGATAATTATATCTCACATACACACTTGTTTGGCTTGTCTCTTTGATATGTGCAGCAGAGATTTGAGTCTGATATAAAAGCTTATGTTACCTAAAAGAACTGCAGACACAGTCTTCTGAACAAATAAAGTGTAAAGAAATAAGTGAAGAAACACATCAACTGCATCATTTACAGTATGATCTGTTCCAAAACCTGGCGAACTTCATGTAAAAGCATCTTACAGGCATGTTACCAATGTAATGGTTATTTTAAAGGTTATGTAATTTCATCATGGCCCCTGTTAAGAATTTTCTAGTCAATAGATTTAGTTAAAAATCAATCAATCAATCAATCAATCAATCAATCAATCAATCAATCAATCAGTCAATCTTTAGGTCTTTAGCAGATCTTAAAAACAGAACTTAATGAGTAGTAATCAGCATGCACAGAGGTCAAAAGAAACAACATTTCGTATTCCTGGAATGAACAGGATTTATAATGGGCGCAGGGAGAGCAGGGCTAGTTGTACTGTAGTGCACTTCAGAACCCCTCGTAGTCCTTCTTGTCTTTCTTCCCTTCAGCTTCAAATCCATCGGTCCCGTCGCTGTTGTCACGTCGCCTCTTGCGGTTATTCCGTACGTTGAAGCGCGAGTTCATCTGGGGCAAGGGGTCCATACCCAGAACCTTGTGAATCTGACGGAACGCCAGCAGCCTCAAGGCAAACTGTGGAGAAAGTGGCCGGTCAATACATAAATTGAAAATACGCTCGATTAACAGGAGGCCATAAAAACAGCATGCATAATTACACAATTATCGAAAAGAGTTTGAAAATTTTAAATACAGTCACTGCAAGACATTAAGTCACATTAACACATTCTTAAAGCAGTTACTGTGTCCATTACCTGAGCGCTTGATGTAATGTCCTCTCTCTGCTGCTCTTCCATGGTAGCCAGTGTATCTGTTGGATTCTTCTCACAGGGGTCTATCAATCCTGGAGCACCTGCATTGCACAGAAATGCACAAAAGCCAGGGAGTGTTAAATTGAGCATCTAGATTCCCAAGATGATAGTAAATTAAAAGAACTCTTAGTAATTCACACCAGTATAAAAGCTAGATTACTAATGTACATGACTACATGCCTACACAGACCTAAGAATCAATGCAATTTCCATAAAACGTGTCTTAAGACATTATCAGAGTGCTGCATCTTACCAGACAGCAGAATGCCTGAGGAAATACATTCAAAGCCTCTTCGAAGAGCATCTCCGGGGCTCATTGGTCCAGAGGCACTGCTGATGGCCTTCTCCACCAGCAGCTCCATAGCCTTAAATTAAACAGTAACTTAATTTACCATAATAAATGGCATTTTGAGCAGTTTCCTCATAAGATCAAAAGTGAAGGATGATGAAATTGATTAAACAGGACTGAAAGTGATTTTGCTTTAAAACCTTTATAGCAACAGTGTTAAGGAAGCCATGTTAAATTAAATGTGATTGAGCTACACCAGGGACAATATAAAAAATAAATTAAATAGGGGAGGGGGAAAAAATTCCTTAAAATAACAAACTCAACTGTAGGAAAGGCCTCATGTTATCAAGATGGCTGCTAAGTGGAAAAGAACATAAGTGCACTAAAACACTAAATCAATCCATGAAAAAACTCGCTTGGTAATAATTTACTCATGTCAACAAGCAGGTCTATGTATTGTGTTAATGCCAGCTAATGGGACTTATACTCTGTTATAAAAGCTACGCCATTTAAAAAAAAAAAAAAAACGCAGGTGGGGCAACTAGTGTAGTCACAAACAGTCCAAAAGGGAGGGATACAACTCGCCTGCTCATTGTTCTGCACAGGAAAACGGCAAGAATCAAAAGAGCTCAAACCAAAATGTCACCCCAGTGGTGGAAATGATTATTTTCTTGTTTATATTATCAACACACCTGACATTGGTGTGACGTTGTACATATAAATTATGGAAGTTGTTGGTGTTTTCCACCTGACCAAACTTCGGCCCCTGTAGTCTCTGTATGATTTCAGCTTTCATCACTCGGGCAATGTGAGCAGGAAGCAGAGACAGCAACAGACGTTCCTGTAGCAAAAACACACCACAACAGGGAATGAGATAATTATATCTCACATACACACTTGTTTGGCTTGTCTCTTTGATATGTGCAGCAGAGATTTGAGTCTGATATAAAAGCTTATGTTACCTAAAAGAACTGCAGACACAGTCTTCTGAACAAATAAAGTGTAAAGAAATAAGTGAAGAAACACATCAACTGCATCATTTACAGTATGATCTGTTCCAAAACCTGGCGAACTTCATGTAAAAGCATCTTACAGGCATGTTACCAATGTAATGGTTATTTTAAAGGTTATGTAATTTCATCATGGCCCCTGTTAAGAATTTTCTAGTCAATAGATTTAGTTAAAAATCAATCAATCAATCAATCAATCAATCAATCAATCAATCAATCAATCAGTCAATCTGCCAGCCAATAGTGAGGTTTCATGACAATTATGATTCCGCCATAGAGGTCAGCTACCTACACTGTAGTAAAAAAAAAAAAAAAATTACTTAAAGAGCTATTTTTACCTGATTTAACACATACAAATTATTGTCTTCAAAAAATGTTATTATCAAAATTATTATAGTTTTGATTGACCATTTTTAGGTTGCAGTTTTCATTGGTTTTATAACTTTTGGAACTGATGTTTGTCTGAAAATACAACAGTATCTAATAAATGGGAAACTATATAACTTTTATAATGTTGCATTAATGAATATTAAGCAAGACCAAATCTTCAGGTGGTTAATCCACATTTAAGCATCACAGAAAATTCCTGC